ATGAATCAAATAAAATTTCAAATACTTCGTGTATGTTGGAAAATTGCAAAGAAGAGAATAAAGAAAATGTGATTTTGATTCCTTTGATCTCGGTTACAACTTGATTATAAAAGTGAGGAAAACGAATTTGGTTTTTCCTCTTTGTTTAAAACTGGGTTCTTCACGGTGGCGATGGAGTGCCTCCCTCGAATGCTCGCGTCAAGTCGATCCGCTGTTTTGCTTCACTGGAACGATATCTTCTCCTCACGATTTGACGTTGTGGAGAACTTGCGTGGCAAGTTTGAGAACTCTGAACGAGTTTAGAAGAACTCTGTAAAAGAGTTGATTTGAACCGAAGATCGGTTAATAAGCCAAGGACAGAGGCTCCCTGTTGCTGAAGTTGAAGATGATCTTCGTTGGGAGATGATGCCGATCTCCTCAAAAGCCTGTCTCCAGTGGTCGATCCAAGCCAAGAAAATTCCAACCGGACCAGCCCGAACTGAATTGATCTTCAGTTATTTATAGAGGATTAAGGGGGTGAAACCGCCCCTTAAATCTCTCCTAAGTGGGGTGTAACCGCCCCCAAATCGTGGGAAACGGTTTTAGAACCGTTCAACTCATGTTGAATGAGTCAAACGCCCACGTTGGCGTTCAGGACCCTAACCTCACGTCTTTGGATTGAGACGCGAGGTTGGGTGTTGGCTGAACATTGATGAACGCGAGGGTCGCTCGCGTTTTGGCTTGTTGTAGCTTGGAAACGCGGGGGTCGGTGTTGGTTGGACCCCTACGAACGCGAGGGTCGCTCACGTTTCGCCTGTTGTAACGCGGGTCCGACTCCAGCGTTTTGATGTTGAAACGCGGGGTTCGACCCTGGCGTTTTGATGTTGAGACGCGGGGTTCGACCTCGGCGTTTTGATGTTGAGATGCGGGGTTCGACCCTAGCGTTTTGATGTTGTAACGCGGGGTTCGACCCTGGCGTTTTGATGTTGAAACGCGGTGTTCGACCCTGGGGCGTTTTGATGTTGAAACGCGGTGTTCGACCCTGGCGTTTTGATGTTGAAACGCGGGGTTCGACCTTGACGTTTTTATGTTAAAACGCGGGGTTCGACATTGGCGTTTTGATGTTGTAACGCGGGGTTCGACCTTGGCGTTTTAATGTTGAAACGCGGGGTCCGACTCCAGCGTTTTGATGTTGAAACGCGGGGTTCGACCCTGGCGTTTTGATGTTGAAACACGGGGAGGACCTCCGCGTCTTGCCTTGCAGAGATTATCACCAAGTAATCTCTTTTTGTCATAGCGTTGCAAAGATCATTGATGAATCAAATAAAATTTCAAATACTTCGTTATTTGTTTCTGTAGCTATTCAGTCATATTTGTTTCGATAGTTCATTGAACATTGAACGAATAGTTTTCAATACTTAGTTTATAAACGAATAAAATTTTACCAGATATATACGAATACTTTGACCATCGAATATTTGTTTAGGGCTTTATTCCTTACAATTTGTATTATTACACACATGATATTATGTTTTTTGGACCCATTTAGGGTGCATAGTTTAAGTTTTATACTAAATTGGCTAACTTAAAGAACTTTACGCCAGTTTCTAAACCAAATTTCTTTAACTAAATAAAACCATCGTTCTAAGTACATAGTTTTATACTCAAAAACCGCAAATTAGCAATGAAATAAAGATATTGCAATATTTAATAAATATTCAAAAAAAAAATTTGCATTCGAATTTGAAGAATATACATAGAATGATATTGGAATCCGCATGTAAATTCGAAAATTTTAAACGAATTCAAGCGCAAACCCAAGGTGTTTCGGTTCTATTCGTTTACCATTCCCTAATTAGGGATTACAAGATGTAACATCAATTTCAATGATTCGGGGGGCTAACTCATAACATTGAAATGGTGGGGACGAATATGTAAAAAGCGCTTTCCATTTTAGAAAGTCACGAGTCCCGACTCCTATTTAATCCCCCCCTCGAAACACGAGCTCTCTCGCAGTCAGACAAACGAGAGGGAGAACCAAGACAAAATAAAACAACTCCAGCCCTCCTCCTCGGCTCCGGTCACCCCCTCTCCATTGTCCCCTACCGAATAATCGAGGCGGGGGGGGGCAAAGAATGATACTTCATCAGAAATTAATAGGCAATGATCTCAGGTGTGGGCAGATTTTTGTGAAATGAAATTAATTCGGCCGAAAACCGAAACCGATCCGAACCGATCCGGTAAGGATGTATCCACTTTCCAAATTAGAGTTTTTCTAATGCTAGTCCCTTAGATCTTTAATATTTTGAATCGGTGGCTTATATATCATTAAAATTGCCACTTACCAGGTATCCCAACTCTTATATTTTGCAATTAACAACTTATATTTGTGGAACAATTTGAACTAACACCAATTTTAGGGATTAGAGGTAGGGGTGAAAATGAATCAAATAAAATTTCAAATACTTCGTTATTTGTTTCTGTAGCTATTCAGTCATATTTGTTTCGATAGTTCATTGAACATTGAACGAATAGTTTTCAATACTTAGTTTATAAACGAATAAAATTTTACCAGATATATACGAATACTTTGACCATCGAATATTTGTTTAGGGCTTTATTCCTTACAATTTGTATTATTACACACATGATATTATGTTTTTTGGACCCATTTAGGGTGCATAGTTTAAGTTTTATACTAAATTGGCTAACTTAAAGAACTTTACGCCAGTTTCTAAACCAAATTTCTTTAACTAAATAAAACCATCGTTCTAAGTACATAGTTTTATACTCAAAAACCGCAAATTAGCAATGAAATAAAGATATTGCAATATTTAATAAATATTCAAAAAAAAAATTTGCATTCGAATTTGAAGAATATACATAGAATGATATTGGAATCCGCATGTAAATTCGAAAATTTTAAACGAATTCAAGCGCAAACCCAAGGTGTTTCGGTTCTATTCGTTTACCATTCCCTAATTAGGGATTACAAGATGTAACATCAATTTCAATGATTCGGGTGGCTAACTCATAACATTGAAATGGTGGGGACGAATATGTAAAAAGCGCTTTCCATTTTAGAAAGTCACGAGTCCCGACTCCTATTTAATCCCCCCCTCGAAACACGAGCTCTCTCGCAGTCAGACAAACGAGAGGGAGAACCAAGACAAAATAAAACAACTCCAGCCCTCCTCCTCGGCTCCGGTCACCCCCTCTCCATTGTCCCCTACCGAATAATCGAGGCGGGGGGGCAAAGAATGATACTTCATCAGAAATTAATAGGCAATGATCTAAGGTGTGGGCAGATTTTTGTGAAATGAAATTAATTCGGCCGAAAACCGAAACCGATCCGAACCGATCCGAATTTCGGTTGGGCCGAATATTCAGATGAAGGGAAAAAAAATCTGGATCTGGATGAGAGTTTTGAGAATTCAAAAAATTCGGATTGGATGCGGATTGGGCTTAAAACCGACCCGAACCGAATATGCACAGCCCTAATGAGTCGAGTGGTTTTATGACATCTCCAAGTCAAGATCCGTGGTTTCAACTACAACATTTAAGTGGTCATTCTCTTGGTAGGATGTCAAGTACTATTTTATTATTCAGTTCATAAATGAATTGAATTTAACCATAGGTATATTTTATTCATTTATGCAAGTAACTGTTCATTTATACATTTTAGTCCCCGAAGTTTTACTCTTCTGCTTGCAAATGTGGATAAATAGTTCTTTTATTTGTTAATGTTCTATATTACTATGTTGCATATTCATCAGGTATATCATGTTTTGCTCTGTTGCAAGACTAAGATAAGGAATATTTGCTGAATATCTACCGAATGACTTGAAAAGACTATTCAGACACTCATGATGAATAATTACGAATAGTTATCGAATATTCGAATACTATCCGAATTGAATTCAAATACTGGTTTCCTATTTATTTCGAAAATGAATACGAATTCAAATAGTCACGTACAAACCAAAATATGAATATGAATATTGTATTATTCGATTCAAATTCCTTTAATTTCCACCCCTAACTTTCCCCGAACTACATTATACGTAGTATAACATATGACTAGGTTGAGTTTGGGGCTCGGATTTGGTCCCAATTTGGACAAAGGTAAGGATGTATCCACTTTCCAAATTAGAGTTTTTCTAATGCTAGTCCCTTAGATCTTTAATATTTTGAATCGGTGGCTTATATATCATTAAAATTGCCACTTACCAGGTATCCCAACTCTTATATTTTGCAATTAACAACTTATATTTGTGGAACAATTTGAACTAACACCAATTTTAGGGATTAGAGGTAGGGGTGAAAATGAATCAAATAAAATTTCAAATACTTCGTTATTTGTTTCTGTAGCTATTCAGTCATATTTGTTTCGATAGTTCATTGAACATTGAACGAATAGTTTTCAATACTTAGTTTATAAACGAATAAAATTTTACCAGATATATACGAATACTTTGACCATCGAATATTTGTTTAGGGCTTTATTCCTTACAATTTGTATTATTACACACATGATATTATGTTTTTTGGACCCATTTAGGGTGCATAGTTTAAGTTTTATACTAAATTGGCTAACTTAAAGAACTTTACGCCAGTTTCTAAACCAAATTTCTTTAACTAAATAAAACCATCATTCTAAGTACATAGTTTTATACTCAAAAACCGCAAATTAGCAATCAAATAAAGATATTGTAATATTTAAAAAATATTCAAAAAATATTTGCACTCGAATTTGAAGAAATACATAGAATGATATTGGAATCCGCATGTAAATTCGAAAATTTTAAACGAATTCAAGCGCAAACCCAAGGTGTTTCGGTTCTATTCGTTTACCATTCCCTAATTAGGCATTACAAGATGTAACAGCAATTTCAATGATTCGGGGGGCTAACTCATAACATTGAAATGGTGGGGACGAATATGTAAAAAGCGCTTTCCATTTTCGATAGTCACGAGTCCCGACTCCTATTTAATCCCCCCCCCTCCTCGAAACACGAGCTCTCTCGCAGTGAGACAAACGAGAGGGAGAACCAAGACAAAATAAAACCAACTCCAGCCCTCCTCGTCGGCTCCGGTCACCCCCTCTCCATTGTCCCCTACCGAATAATCGAAAGGAGAACCTGTAACCCTCTGCGTAATACCGAGGCGGGGGCAAAGAAGGGCGTGATCTCGAGCGGTGACCGCACCGCCTTCGACAACCTCCGGAGCCCCTCAAATCCTTTTCCGGTACTGGACTATTCAATTCTCCTCATTTTTCAAACTCCCATTGGTTTTCTTCACTTCGCGATCTCGTAACCAGGCGCCGATCTCCGGCGTCGATCGCTCCGCCAAGCTCACAGGTCGGGATTAGGGGTTTTTAATTTGAGATTAGGGTTAGGTTCTCTCTCTTTTCTTGTGATTCTCGTAACAAAATCTTTTTGTTGGATGCAGAATCTAATTCTCAGGGTTTTTTCTACTGTAAACGACCCAATGGAGATCCATGACACTTCGAAAGCTCTAGAGTAAGATCATTATTTCAAACCATTATCTTATGTTCTGCGCGTGTTCACTAATACCCTAAATATGTTACTTTTTCTGTCCATTTGCTAACAACAGATTATTGGAGCATTCTATTTGCAGTTAAGGTGCTTGAAGAGCTTATATTTGTAGGAAAAAAGAAAATTTGAAGTATCTAATATATTTTTGTGAGCTGAATTTTTCTGAGGGAGCCCCAGTCCTATGCTCACCTATAAAATCCTGTACGAAAATAAAGCTTTAGCATACAATACCTTATGGAGAGCTAAATGTTGCAATTTTGGAAGGAGCAACATCGTTTGTGCGTGCATTGCTTTAAAAGAACAATAGAAGAGTACTGTGTCCTTTTTTACATAATAAATTTAAATTTCTAGCTCTGTTGTAAACTACTTTTCTTGAAAGAGGAGTACCTACCCATGTGTGCGCTGAGGAAAACAACTAGAGAAGAAGATCAAAGAGTCTAGTTTATTAAGAATATGACAATGGAAACCCAGTACTTTTATAAACTGTTTGTTTTGAGAGAGGACTCTTGATTTGAAGAAGTTATTTTGCGTCTGTTGGAATTAGATGCTTAAATTAATTTGACACTTAATATACTCACCTTTTTTTATAACTTATGCGCAGTCTCTAATATAATAGTTTTGTATAACAAGTTTATGGGAAGCATAGTTGATTACTGAGTATGTTTACACAAGCGCTTAAATGGAAAATTATATCAAGCTGAATTGAGCAGATGGTATTGAAGCGTCCTGATTGCAAACTTATTGTGGAACCATAATTGATCGTGAGTGTTGCAGTTATAGTTCTCAAGAAGCCTATAATTATGATTATTTGAGCTGAAAGCAAACAAGCAGGCATAAGGCTAACAGGCAGGTGGTTCTTTATGGATTGATATCTTGTGATACAGTCTTGGGTGGAGAGGGAAAATATTTATTCTCTTTTGTTGGGGTTTTTATTAAGATTATATGATACCTCATATCTCTATCATACATGTGAGATATTATATAAGCCTGAACCTATGTTAAAAAAATTATTTATAAGAAGGGTTTTTAATTTTATGATAGCGACGGTGTTTAAAACCTAGGTTTTCTGCAAGCTTGAGCTTGTTTGTTTCTTTTTTCTCTCTTGAAAAAATATAGGTGCTTTCTTTTCCCCCACCTGCAAGGCTTTCAAGGTTGAAGTCCAGATTAGAAATTTGCACTTATTGAGAATTTGTTCTTATAATTTTCATTTATGATCAGAATCCGAGTCATGATGTTAAGTAGCGGATTGCTATTTGTATAAAGGTGGCCAAAAGGTTACCACCATTTTATGCATTGGATCTTTGATGTGGGGATTGTCATGCCGTGAAATGCATAACTACCATCTCTGTAGGATGTTATATTATGGAAAATTTTACTGCTATGGTGATTGTGCAATTTAAGGGTGCCAACTGTTTCCAAGTAGCTAGCATACAAATAACTGTTAATATATATTGCATATCCGATTTCCATATCCGATATTCCTAGGTAATGTCTATATGTAGATTGAGGTAAATTTGAAGCGTTCCAACAAAAGTTTGCTCTGGACTACTGTAGGTAGACAATGATCAGAATCCAATTGTACCAGATGCATTTACTCTTCTTGTCTTACAGTGGAATTATAGAAATAGGGCTCTGAATATTTTTGCGTACAAATAAAAGCTCTTCATGTTCCTTACTATCTTCTATTACTTCAAGAGCTAGTTCAACTTCGGATTCTGGTCTTTTGCAACTTGTCAATCATGTGACAACTTAAGCGATTTAAATTTAGGGTAGCTTCCTGCATTTCTCGTAGTTCATGATCTATATATTTGACAATTTTACACTTTGTTTTTTATTCCCAACTTAATAACAACTTTTAATCAGGGTTTTGAAGGAGATTGGTTCGAGACCTACGGAAGGCTCATCATTATTAATGCCAAACTTGCTGGCATGTTTGAAACATGATGATCCTGTTGTTGTGAGGCAGTCAGTTACTATTGGGACAAGTTTATTTTGCACTGTCTTAACAGAGATGGTACTACAGGTGCTCTTTGTAGAACAGATAGCCATTCACGGATAAATTTATCTTGTTATCTGCTCAAGCTATACACATTTTTCTTCTCGAGAGATTCTATTCGTTCTCAGTATTGTGTTTAATATGTTGCTTTCAAGAAAAATGGTCTGTGCAATGGATTTTGTGATTGTACCAGGTAGAAGCTTTCATGCTTTGGAGACCGTTCTGGTCTGACTTTTATTGTCCAATTCGTGATTCTATTTTTTTCTCCATAAAATTTCATGTCGCAGTTATGAAGAGAGCTTTCATGTCGTTTGAAAAGAAGACTTAGGGCAAGAGGAGGGAGCAAGTTTTGCAAGGATAATTATTTCTAAAGTTATTATAAACCTGTAAAGATTAATGCCTAGTCGTGTTGGATTTGTTCTTAAAACTTGTTGCCTTTGTTAGAGACCGCATGTGAACTGTTAATTGTTATAACATATTGCTGCGTGAGAAGTCTTACTTGACTATTCAAATCACTAAATAATGTTGTTTGGAAGTTATTTACTTTATTTGTCAAATGGTTATGACCTCATCTTAATACTAACTGTGAAACTAACAGGCAACTCGAGCTGGGGGTGTATTAGATTGTCGAAGAACGAAGAGAAATTAATGACTATTATGATAGTCAATATCCTGCAATAGTAGTGCAAGTCTGCAAGATGACACGAGTTAGGATAGCTAATTATGATTCCTCATTGTTCTTGGATTTTCATGTCTTTCCATAATGCATAGACATAGACCCACATACAATGTATACCGGATAGGGGTGCTAAACCGTATCCGTATCCGAGAAAATATCCGTTACCGTATCCATTAGGATACGAATATGGTTACTTAAATCTATAACCGATAGGATATGATTACGGATATGGTTTTGTAGTGAAATATCCGTATCCGTATCCGAAATATCCGAATACATATTAGTCATACTCTTACGATAGTTTTGATTCTTAGATTATCATATTAGTCATACTCTTACGATAGTTTTGATTCTTAGATTATGGATTTGTGGTTAATTTTGATGATCAATATGTCTAATTTTAACTTTTCAATTATAATGGACATATTAACGAATTCTTTTGTATCACATGAACTATGTTTTTCTCAATACTATCTAGTATTCTCATAACTGTTTTATATCCGCATGCATATCCGCTTATATATCCGCATGTATATCCGTAACCGTATCCGATTTTAGCGGATATGGTTATAAATTTTTCTTACCGAGGTATATCCGTATCCGTGATGGGTAAGCGGATATGAATATGATAAGCATCATATCCGAGCCATATCCGGACCAAATGCACCCCTAATACCGGAACATGGAGACATGGATAATTCTTAAAAAGTGGGTCGTAGGAAAATGAGAATCATATGCATGGACAATGACATAAACACATGGATAAATGTGTGATTGTGCATGCGTGCGGGCGTGTGTTTATAGAGACATATGTGCGAATGTGTTGTGTGGTGCAGATATGTTTGTATATATATTATATGCATTTGTATGTAGTATATAACACCAAAATATCTGGTGACCAGCTGATAGTAGGAAATGCTTTGTTCATATTAGAAAGAAAGATAAAATAATACCTTTGATTTCTAGTCACAAACCACAAAAAAGATATTTTGAAGTTTGATTGAACCTCCGACCTAAATCGTGTTAAACTAGCAGTGGATTAAAATAATACCTTTTTTGACCCTCCACGTTTGGAAGGTGATTAAATCGTGTTAAACTAGCAGGGGATCTGTGTTAAGCACCTTTTTTTGGTACGATCTAAAACACAAATTTGTAACCTCTTTAAAAGACTTTTTTTAGGGGGGGGGGTGCTTTTTGTTTAACATTTATCAAAAAGTGGTATACATGTTTCTGTTTCAGCATGTGTTCTTGACCATATGAGCCTCATTTGGAACACATTACTCGATGCGTATACACTATGCTCGATAGTAAGGAAGCACGTAAGCTTGAAAGTTACACAACAAAGAGGAGTAGGTACCTTGAGTCATGATACACTTGGGAGTATTCACTAAGATCATTTTGATTATTATGCTTGTGCATGTGAATAGAAAAGGGATATACAACACTTAGTCAAAATCAAGGTTTTAAATATCGGATATCGGAGAAATATGGGATGGCCAAAATTCATATCGGATTGCGGATATCGGGGAAATATCGGGGATGTGGTAAATATCGGAATGGCAAAACAGATGTTTGCATATATAGTATAATGTAATAAAATGTAATCTCAACATACTTAATGAACTCTAAGTATACGAAAGTAAATATTATATGTTTAGGATCACTAATCAACCATATAAAACAAACAAAAGTACAAATCAACATTGCTACATATTGTCAGATTTTTTAGGTCAAAATGTCATTTGATATAATGGGAAAATATGATATCTTGCCCAAAAATTACCAAATGCGGTATATTGTTTTGTGACAAGTCATATAAAAGGATATATCGGCCAACATATTGGCTGATATATCAGCTACATTGGGGATATAACGCCCAAAATAGCCAAAATGCGGTAAATGATATTTAGAGACCATATCGGTTGCGGCAAGCCTTGTAAAAGGATATATCGTGCGATATATCGGGCCAAGTCGGGGATATTTAAAACAATGGTCAAAATATTATAAAGCAAACTACTTTATTAAAAAGGCATGATAAGAGTTCTAGCTCGAACCCCATTATATATAATTGAATAAATCCATAATGTAAATGTCAAGAACCAGAAGTATATCTATTTAGGAATATATCTATTTAGGAGACTAAATACTTGTTAAAGAATATAAAAAACTACAAATTTAATCAACATCATCAATGCACTTCATCTTTTTTGAGGTTGCCAAAATTGGCATACACAATTGGGAATGCACCATGATTTGGAACGCAAATTGGATTGTAATCGAATGTTATTAGTGGATTGAAGTGAGTTAGATAACAATTTCTTTGGAGTGTACGTGCTTCATTGATCCCATCCATCCTTTTCCATTTTTGTCTTTCGTTTGGTTAATGAACATCGTGCCTTGAACATCACATGTTCAAGCATTTGTAGCTGCATTATCACTTGATGTGTAGTATACACACAAAACCGCAAGTAGTTATTAACACAAATGTGGGTGTTATTACTAAAACTATCATTAATGCTGGCAATTAACCTATTAATGAAGCATTTGGGCTAGAATAAATTCTCTCATACTGATTATTTCATGTACATTTCTAGTAATTTCCTTTACTAGGGACTCTGTCACGATGTAAATACTTGTCCAGTAACTTGTGAATGATTTGTTTTGTCCTGTCCCTCTTCCATGTATATTTTTGCCAGTTTAACCAACCTCATTTTGTCTATTGTCTTTTAAATTAGAATAATATAAGTTGCTTGCTATTTTCAAAAGATTCATGCAGCTTGCCAGATAGGGATAAAATTTGAAGGTCTCAAATGCCCCATTTTGGTCTTTTTTTGGCTTTTCATCAAGGAATCTTAGCAGACAGAGGACTATTGTTCTTGTATTGTAGTATCCTGGTAGTCAATTTGAACTTTGATTCTTTGTTTATGAATTATGTGATTCATATCTGTTTTATTTGTTCCATGCAGCTCCGTGATTCTAATAAGGTCGAGGGGTGGTTGGAAGAAATGTGGTCCTGGATGTTACGGTTCAAGGATGCAGTTAGGAGCTTGTTGTTGGAGGTAGGTTTTGGCCCTCCAAGCCCTTTGTCCAACTTTTTGTACATTCTCAATGATTTCTCCTTGTACCTGTTCTGCTTTTGATGATAACTAGCAAAAGGTTCATCATAATCTAATTTACAGTTTTCTTGCATTAAAACTGTACAAACGTATCCTTTTATCTACAATGGTTAGGCTTTTTATAGGTTAATTTATTCAAGCTGTTTCTGTGAGTTCGAATAACTTTTATTAGCTCTTCTTATGGCATTTGATGTTTAGTGAGACACTTCATGCTTGAGAATATGGCAAGTGAGAGAGGGGACGCATTTGACCAAAATGGGGTAGAGGGAATGGGTTATCTGGAATCTGCATAAGTGCTTATTAAGTTATAAAAGATGATATATTTGCTAGTCTTGCTCCATTGTTTTTCCTAAATTTCCCCTATACTTGCACCATTCCTTTTATGATATAATCACCTTCAGTAGCTGTTGCTTCACTTTATCATAAAGATAAAGGAAGTCAATAAATTAAAACTTGTATCCAGCAGCTCTTCAAAGTCCTTAAACAAACAACTGTGCTGTTAATGCAATTTCAAACTATCAATTTCTTGATGAAGAAAGTTCCTGCAACAAATTGAGTCTGTTTAAGTTTTCTCAACTATATGTATCTACATTGAAGGAACATAGGTATAATACAATTGGTGCATTAGTTTTTCCAAATGAATGTTTAAATGTAAGATAGTACTAGTATGCTAGGTATCTTCTGTAAGTGAACGTTATGATTTTAGTTTTGGCTGATGTAAGTGCCTTCATATTATTTTTACCAAATGCTAGTGCTATGCATTGTTGACAGTGGCCTGTTCAAGATGATTTTTTCCGTGTAAGTCAGTATTTTTTTTTTGAGGGATATACTTTTCCAACCTTATGATTCTATCTTTTTATCTTTCCTTTTGGAACTAGTAGCTTTTTATGCTCAGCAGATTGCAATCTATCACGTCCAGTCATTTATCACCTAATTTCCATTATCTCTTTCTTTCTAATTTTTTATGAAATTTTGTGTGGTTAAGCTTTGCAGCATTATGGTATTTTAAAAAAAGAATATGTTATGTTTTAAATTCAGTGATGTTCTAACCTGCTTTTTGAAACTTTTGATGTAGCTTGATTCTCCTCAATTGAAGGTTCTTGCAGCAAAATTTCTAGAAACATGTTTTCTACTGTTTACATCTGATGGAAATGATGGGGAAGAAGGTATGTTCACTGTTAGTATTCAGAATTCGTACTGTATAAACTTAGAGGTCTTGAGCTATGCAATCTTTTAGTAGTTTTAAAGATGTTTATTTACATATCCCTTGCGGGAAAGGGCTTGAAGTTCAATGAATCATGGTCAGGTCAAGATCATCCAGTATTAGGCCCGAACATGTTGGCCAAGGAAGCTGGCGAGGTTCTTAATCTTTTCTATGAGTTACTGCAGTCGGCTTCTACACTTAGTGGTTCTCTGGTAACCACTATAATCAACTGGTGAGATTTGAGCACCCTTTCGTGTTTCCCCAGTTTTTTTAATGCTGACTTCTACTCTGTTTCTGTTAAAAATGAGCTTTCTTTTTCCTAAAGGTTTTAACTTCAATTTCTTGAATTTTATTCAACTAATTATCTTTCTAGGCATTATAATATATATCAGGTGTGTTTGCTTTAGTTGGCTGCAAAATTGTTGCAATCCTCTGGTCAATTAGTTATAGATCATCATGCTTGCATTTTTTTGCTGATGAGGCAACTAGAGAGGCATGCTGCTGTGTGGCTACATACTGTTACACCGTTTGCAGGTGGTATGCCTCATCAATACCAGCAATGCATACTTGTTAGCGACGGCGCTGCAGACCATCACAAGCTTACAGCTTTTTGGCGAAAACCTGAATATTTCTGGCAAGGTGTAGGTGAATTACATTAACACAAGCATAGATTGCAATGCATTTAATGTTGTGCGTGGTGTTACTGAGAACGATTTCAACCTGAATACCTCTGTCCAAGTGTAAGTGAACTACATTAATCCAAACATAGAACTGTAATGCATTTAATGTTGTGAGTGATGTTGCTGGAGACCAATTACAACCAACCAAAAAAGCCCTTATATTACAGTCATAAGCTGCATGACCTCGTTTTAGCTCAGCGGAGAACGCAAGTTTCATAATCAATAACAGGTGTCATAGTGGTTGCACCGAGAATGTATCGCTGTCCATTAAGGTTAATTGGAAAACATGATCAAAGTCTTTCCTAGGGAAGTATTGCTGTCCAGGAAAGTCATTTTTCAAAATGGTATTGTTGATGACAGATGCAACTGAAGTTGTCTCTTCTAATATATGCTACTGAGAGGCTTGTAACACCATTTTATAATGGGGAACCAGATGGAGCAATGTACGTGACTTTCATTGTATCATTTTATGTTGGTTTCATTGTCTTCTTGCAGCAATAGTGGATTATGTAGAGCACTTACATCATATAAAATTTTTTGCTTTACTATTTTTGATATCATTATATTAACCTTCCGACATTCCTTCATCACTCCTACGTCTGTACTGCTCCTAACAACATCTCCACTTGCTGATGTTACAATGCATTTTTTATCCTAAGACATCTATTTTTTCTTCTTATATAACTTACCCCACTCTATCTCTACCTTTTTCATTAATAATATTGCTTCTTCATTTGTTATTGCATCCTTGTTCTATCCTCCTCCTTTTTTCTTGCCTTCTTTGATCTTATGTTTTAGTAAGATTATTAGCATTGGTCCCATTCTTAATCGTTGTGCTGAGCAAAATCGTGTAGCACCTTATTATTTGAAATAGGGTTTTAATTTATTAAGTAATTAGTCGTCTGCCCATGGTGTTATCTATCAGTTGCTATTCCAGTTGCTTTACTTTTTCACTCACTTCAAACATTACAAGATATTTCGTGCAATTCTTTTCTTCATTTTTGTTGGTAAAGTATTTCTCCTAATAAGATAACACTGCTCATGACAATAAAAGTCAAGATCTGCGTTATCTTCTGGATGATTGCATCTGGAAATGGTAGAGAGAAGCGGGAGCAGTGAGTCATAGTGATTGGTGTTTTATTCTTTAACTTCAATCCCCTTATCTGGAATATTTTGCTTTTTAGTTGAAAGGAAATTTAAACTTCACCTTATCCTGTTGAAGAAAAATCCATATCCTCTAGTAGGTTATAACCAAGAATATCTGCAGGGTCTGTATTGATACTGTTAAAATCCATATCCTCTAGTAGGTTATAACCAAAATATATATGCAGTGTCTGTATTGATACTGTTAATAGCAACAATATTCTAGCTGTATTCACCTTCTTAAAATGAAAGGAATGAGTTCTTTGATTCCAGATGATTTCTATGTTCAATTGAGCTGACCTGTACAGTACTAAAGGGTACTTTCCACTAGCACAACAATTGAGATATATACAATACTACAACGCGATGAAGTTGGAGATCTCTGATTCTACATTTAGGAGTCATACCCTCTCATATAACACTTCTTATCAGCACATCAATCAAGGTGTCAACGGTTTTGATTAAAACCTTTACTTCATCTGTTTCTTCACCCATATGAAGTCAAAACGTACTTGCGCTAGTTAAAGAGGTTGTGCTGTAAATTTATTCTATGGAACAATTTTCTTATTTCCAAGTTTTGCTTATTGGCACCATCTCAGTTTTTCAGTTTCAAATGAATGTGCCAATTAATTAATCAGTGGATTATTATTATTATTTTGCTTTTCACTATTCTGCAGTCAATTTTATGTTTTATTCAGTATAAGATATTCTCATATCTTCGTGATTTGTGGTTTGCAATTGGCTTAACTATTGTGAGTTGTTACATTGTTCTTGGTTAGCTAGTATCCTTCTGGTAATAAAGTCTGTGTCCCCTCTTGTGCTTCAATGTCTAGTTACCTAATTCTTTTATAATAAGGTCTGCTGCTTCATTAAGAGTTTTTAATGGAAAATGTTGCATTAAGATGTCCACTTTATCTATGTTCTTCTGATCATTTGTAATGCTTTGCTGTTGGCAGTCTTGCATCCATTGCAATAAAAAGGCCGGGCCACTATGATTCTATTCTGTCTGTATTGCTTGAGTTTGACCCTAACTTCGAAACTTCAAGGGATGGTCAAGCATCAAGCATTCAGTATGCTGTGAGAATTGCTCTTTTAAGATTTCTAAGGTGTACCCATCCATGTATGTTTGAGGTAATGTAACACTGGTTCTCCCAATCACATTCTTGAATATTGTCGTCTCCTCTGGTCACAATTATCAAGCTTTCATATTTTAACTGGTGATGCAGAATGAATTTCTTATGGATAGTCATGAAAGAATGGATGGAAAAAGATAGCTAGAGTTTCTTTTAATGTTATAATTTTGATTTTGGTAGAAATTTTGTTATAGCCTTATCTATAAAAGGGAAATTATTGGTTAGAACTTTAATTGAGTTAGGAATCTTTTTAGAAACTAATTTTAGAAACCTTTTTATTTTGTTAATTCTTATTCTTTAAGAATTAGTTTTTTAGGATCAGGCGCTGTTAATCTATGAAAAACTAGGTATGAAAATGTTTTTAAAAGCTATGATTTATAGATTGTTTGGTGCAATGTTGGGTGTGTAACCCTACTTTCCGAAGTTGTGACCTTAATTATCATGAAACCATTGATTCAGATATGTGACCAAAATCGTGATAGGTTTTTATTACGTATGTACACCTCATATCAATCGAATTTTAAGATTTATCCATTATATCTTTATATTTGCCAATTCACCCCTATTTTAAATTTAAACCTTTAAGTTACAGCTTTATTTTTCTGTTAGAAAATATCCAAGATATATTCTTCATATTGGGTGAAGTCGATTAATAATTTTAATATGTGAC